TTAATATATATGAATCAACTAAACTTTTACATAAGATTTTAATATCACTTTAAAGATAAGAGAATAAACTCAGAAAATCTGTGTAATTAATGAAAACTTGGACATCAGATAGGGTCAGGATTAAAACTTAGACTCAGGTCTCTTGGATTTCCTAAATGTTGAGAAAACAAAGTTCATTAAATTTTCAGATGAGCACATGGAGAAGATGAAACTTGGCATTTTAATGAAGGATTTAAAAATGGGTCCTTTAATTGAATTAAGGTATTCATTTGAAACTTTACTTTTAGATAAGTATCCATTCACAGGCAGTTTTAATCGACACAGAGAAATCCCATGTGCCTTTTATTCTGTTCCTCCAATGCCAGCATCCTGCAAATCTAGCAGAATACCATACACAGACACCCAAGTAACATTTCAGAATAAGGAATAATTCCACCACCACAAGGAACCATTATATTGCTGTATTGAAGTGCCACCACCCATGCTGCTCACAACGGCATTCATGACGCTAATCACTATATTTTTCATTTCTAAATTTTGTCATTTCAAAAATGTTTCACAGGTAAAATCATGGACTATGCAGTCTTTGGGACTGATCTTCACTCCACCACTTCTCTGGATAGTCATACAAACTGTTTTAAATGTCAAGAATTCATCCTTATATTACAGAGAAACATTTCAAAGTATAGATTTAATGGCTTGCTTCATTATTTGCTCAATGAAGGTCATAGATACTGTCTTCATGTTTGGATATTTGCAAACACAATTTCTCACAAAGTGCCACCTAAATTTTTCTTACCATAGGTTTCTACTGCTACCAGATAAACATTCAGGAGTTCAGATGTTTGATCATATAGTAGTTGCTATTCTGGACATTTTCTAATACTATTGTATTTTTAATTATTTCCTATACAATAGATGTGTGATCTACAGCTTTGCATCCTCACTAGCATTTAATGTTATCACTATTTTTAAGTTAACCTTTCTGATATACATGTAGTTAATTTTCATTGTAGCTTTATTTTTACTTTGCACTGATGATTAATATTTTAGCATATTTTCATGTGCGTAAGTTCTACAACCGTATTCTCTGAGTTCTCCTTCATCTGAGAGTGCCCTGAAGGACTTTTTTGGGGGAAATGGCACTTTAATCAGCAGTTGTTTTAAACTTGGACAATTGTGTCCCATTGCCTTTTGGTCTCCCGTGTTTTTGGTGAGATAGATATGCACTGTTCTCTGGACTGGTTTTTCCTTCTGACGCTTCCCTTATGGATGCTGGAAGGATATTTTCCTAATTTTCCTAACCTTGGTTATGATTTGCTTTGATATAAGTATCTTCAGATTTATGCTTCTTGGGGTTTTCTAAGCTTCTGGACTGTAGATTTAACCCTTTTCTTAATTTTAGGATTTTTTCACCTATATTCAGTACTATTTATCCTCACACTATTTCTTTTTCCAATAATATCAATATAAAATTTTACAGTTGCTGTATATCTCACATATCCTTTAAGCTCTATTTTCTTTCAACCAATTTTCTTTGACATTCAGGAAGGATATTTCTACTCATTTATCTTCAAGAGCACTAATTCTTTCCTTTCTGACCTTCATCCATATTTCTTCTGAATTTCTGAGTGTTTTTCAGTTATGTTTCCCATATATTCCTCCATTATATTTTCGATTTGTTTGTTGAGACTCACCTTCTTCACTGAGAATTCCTACTGTATTAATTTCTTGCACACATGTAATTGCTCACTGAAACATTTTCATGACAACCATTTCCAAATCCTTGTCAAATAATTAAAAAGTCACCATATTTTCATGAGGGCATCTATTCATTGTCTTCTTTCATTTGCTTTGAAATTATCTTAATCTTGTCATGATAAGTAACATTCAGTTGTATCCTGAGTATTTGGAGTAATATGCTGTGAAACTGGACTTTACCTCCTTTATATTTTAGATTTCAGTTGACCTAACTGATCTACTCTGCAGTCAGAAGGGAAAACCCTGTCTCGTTACTCTCATATGTAAAAGTCCAGTTTATCCATGTGGTCTCAGCTAGCATGTGAGTGAGGGTGAGTGATGATGGCAGTTTTCACTACCCATTGCCCCTTACTGTCTAGGACAGGGTGGGGTGAAGTACGTGCTTCCAGTGTGGTTCCTTCCCACACTGCCCGAGCTGGAGCCTCATTACTCCCAAACAAGGAGGACAGTCCTGTCTGTCCTCAGGTTTTTCTGCTCCCTCAGCAGTGAGTGCCCGAGGACTTCTCCATAGCTGCCTACAGTAGAACTGAGCAGTCTCACTTAGCCTTTGCTAGCAGGAATGATGGTACTTTTAATTTTTGTGTGTGATATTTAATTTGTTTCAACCATTGTTGTCCTAAAAGCCAGGTGTGGTGGCCCATGCCTGTAATCCTAGCACTTGGGAGGCTGAGGCAGGAGGATCACTGTGAGTTTGAGGCCAGCCTGGGCTACACAAGTAAGTTCAAGGCCAGCCTGCAGTGCATAGTGAGACCTTGTCTCAAAAAGACAAATAAATAAATATATATATATATATATATATATATATATATATATATAGAGAGAGAGAGAGAGAGAGAGAGAGATAAATGATAGATATATAGATATATATATTCCCTTAAAAGTTTTGTCTTACAAAGGACTAACCCTACCTTAGTCCTTCAGCAAAATCCGAGTTATATCTCTACTTCATGTTTTGCTTGTTTGTCTGTCTATGGCTGTTGGTGTTCCCAGGTCCTTTACTGTTTCTGGGTACTTGCAAGCAAAATAGAACCAGTAAACTCACCATCATGCTATTTCTTGGCTCCTAAATTGCCTGCATTTTATGCTTCTTCTCTCTGAGAATCTTTGTAATGTTTTCTTTATATATAATAAAGTTTTTAATTATACTCAATGAGAATATAAATGAGGCACTTGGCAATATATAGATATAAAAGATATAAAAACTAAGCATTCTCTTGAGCAGTCTATACTATTTTTAGGAATTTAAGAAAGTTTATTTCTCCCGTAGTCATAGGTGGGGCTTTTTGGAGGGGCTGGATCTAGGGTATGTGATGCTGGAATTAAGGACATGCTGCTAGGATTAAGGGTTCCTCACCCTGGGTGTTACTGTTACTTGCCCAAAGGATGGGTAGCCTGGATGGAAGGTAAGGGACAGAGAAAAAGTTTGTTGATGGGCTACTAGCTTGCCTTCTGCCTGCCGTGCCTGCGATGGACTGTTTCTCCTCTGTGATGCCCGTCTGCCATGCCACGCTGCTTTAGAGCCAGCTGACTATGGATTGAAACCTCTACAAACTGTGAGCTGAAATAAAACATTCTCTCTTTTAATTTGGGTGTTGGTATTTTGTCTCAATAATGAGAAAAGTTACTAAGACACCCAAATACGTATGTGCATGTGGATATTCATTTCAGTGTGGACTGTGTATTTAAAAATATTAGGAAATCCATTCATAATGTTACTTTAATTACATTAAAGTATAATTGTACAATGAATTACATGCAAACATAAAAAGTTATGTTACACTTTAAGTAAATACATTGCGAAACCTATGGTTATATACAGTGCAAGTCCAGTTTATTTTGCTATTCTTCCTATTTCTCTAATAAGCATGCGTAGATCTGTAATTTTTTCAATAATTGAACATTATTACCCAAAAATTTTATATCACTTTTAAAAGAGTAGATTTTATCGTGAACAGCTTCTTTGGACTAAACCTATTAATCTTTTAATATGTATTATAAATTTAAAAATAGTTGATATCTATTAAGAACCATATATGATCTTGAAATTCCATGTGTTTGGGAAAATAGCAAAACGTAAACCTACTGAAGGACTGTAAAAATATACAAGAAATTCTTAGTTTAATCATAAGAAAATAAGCTGATATCCTAAAAAAATGAGCAAAATATTAATGCATAGCTTAACAAAATTGAAGCATAGAAAAAGTGTCTAATGTTATATGTGATAAGGGAATTATAAATAAAAACTACAATGACATACTACTATGAAATGATCAAAATGACTGAAATTTAAAATATTGACCACACTAAATTCTGGTAATAATGTAAAGCAAATATTCACTCATTACTGGTGGGAATGCAAATGCTGCAACCATTTTGGAAGAGAGTGTGGCAGATTCTTACAAAATAAATGTATCAGATGATCCAGCAATAATAGCAGTATTTGATATTTATGCAAATGAGTTGAAAATTTAATCCCACAGTAAGACCTGCATATAATGTTTACAGAACATTTTTATTTATGATAGTGTTATGGTTGATACATTGTGTCAACTTGGGGAGTCTAGAGGTTTGGCTAAGTGACTCAGCAGGGAGCCAGGGTGCTTACTTTGTATACATCCTTAGCCTAGGGAAGAGGAGGGCATGGAGATTATGTAAGTGCTACATGCCCCTTGAGTGAGGGTAGCCTGTTTACAGTGTGGGGGGGGAAAAGGGTGTTTTTGTCTCTTTTTCTTTTTTTTTCTTTTTTTTTTTGTGTTCTGCCGCCATGAACGTTTGCTCTCTGCCATGTGCCACTCTGCCTCAGAGCCAGCCAAATATGGACTGAAACCTGCACAAACTGTAAGCTAAATAAGTCTTTCCTTCCTTAATTTTGGGCATTGGGTATTTTGCCTCACCAGTGAGAGAAAAGTAACTAAGATAGACAGCGAGACTATGGTAGCAATAGATATTTTACAAAACATGAATGGACAAACAATCTGTTGTACATTCAGACAATTCAGTACTGGAAAGAAATGAATGATCAAGCCACAAAAGATGTGAAAGAGTCTCACATTTGTACTGGTACATTAAAGAAGCCAAATTGAAATTTGATAAAAATCATATATAGGCTGAATACATTATTACCAGCATACACTTCATTGAGTAACCAAAGTACCTCAGATATGCTACTAAGAATAATATATAGCTTAATGATTTTTAGATATATTTAATATGTATTCACCCTTTAATCAATACCTTACCTCTGATCTTAACTCAAAGATGACTCTATCGTTGTTGTTTTGAGAATTATGTTCTTCCTTTGTATCTCCTGCTATTCGTTCCATTTCATTTTCACGTAGACCATGACGAATGCCAAACTGAAAGAGAAAAACTTTTGAACTATAATCATATGTTTCTATAAAGTCTGGCTCTAGGATATCCCACACTACTCTTTCACTTTCTTTAGGTCTTTTATTTTTCCTATATAGATTCTGGCAGCTTATTTTTGCTGTTATAACTTTTGAGGTGGAACCATTTAATGTACTTGTAGCTGAAAAATATTAAATTGCTTGGAAAAGATCAGAAAATCTTCATAAATTTCAATGCATTAATTGAAAACTAAAAAAAATGATTTTTTTTTTCCAGTACCGGGAATCAGATTTATGACCTTGAGCTTGCCGGGCAGGCCCCATGCTGCTAAGCTAAATCCCCAACCCCCGAAAAAGATTTTTAAATGATGGATCAGTTGAGTTCCAAACTAATCCAGTTAATACTGATCTTGTATTCCTGAATATTAATTAGTACCTCAATATTTTAACAATCTTATTCATATCTATTTTCTATAAATTATACAAAGTAAATTATGATAGAAACAAATTTGGACAAAGAAATAGATATATATATATATATGGTGGCGGGGCTGAGAAAATTTATGCAGAATATCTACAAAAGATGTCAATACATTACCATAAGAAACTCTACATAAAAAGGTAAGACGTTTGAAAAATTTGTAAATTCAGTAATTACATACCCAAAATATATAATAGTAATAATAATAATGTTTTTCCTTAATTATATAGGTAAAAGTTTCTGTTAGTCAATGTGTATACCATCTCATGATAAATTAGAATATAAAAGTTAATATCATATTGTTTACTTAAAAATTTAAAAACTACTCATGATATTGTCAATGTTAATAACACTGTTCTAGGCTCCAAGAACTGAAGTTGATATGTACTTTCTTACTTAATGCTAGTAGTAATCTTGTATATTATGTTTTACGATGATTATCCCTACTGTATGGAAAAAGTGAATCATAGAAAGTCTTAAGCAAATTTTTCAATATTGACATAGCTTTGGGGGCTGGAGATTTAGCTCAGCGGCACAGCACTTGCCTGGCAAGCCTGAGGTCATGAGTTAGATTCCCAGTACTGGGAAAAAAAAAAAAAAATGACATAGCTCATAACCAGAAGAATCAAAATTTAAGAATAGTTTTCCAGAATGCACTACCTGAGTACTAAACCAAGACTGTATTTATTGTGTAAAGTCATTGAAATAATTTTCTGAAAAGCAATAAACCGATAGGAAGTGGTAATATAGAAAGCATAGCAGAAGATGCCAGAACTTAAACCAATTAGAAATGGGCTACTGTAGGGAAAGAAACTGATCTCCCAACAAAGTATGCAGAGAATCAATATTCAGGATTGGTACTATTAAGAGAGCACATGGAAAGTGAAAAAACTTGATCTAATACAACGAATTTTTATGACTGTCTATCTGTGTACACTTACCAACCATCATGTAAGCTACATAGTGTGCTTTTTTAAACCTGAGCCAAAATAAAAGAAGGGTCACTCTTATAAAAAGAATAGGAAGTAACAAGTGTAAAATGAAATCAGCTGGTTTAATTGGGGTTCACCAAGAGAAAATTCAGTTTATTTTGGTAACTCAATGCCTCTAGCTTAACTTCTGAAATCTTAGTGTTTAGTCCAGAAGGAATTCTATCAATCAATAAATTCTCCCATTGTAAAAAGGAGACAATAAAGGAAAATTTTCTAAATACTAGGAAAAAAAAACTTACATCAAGCATATAAATCACTCTACTTTCATTTATTAGCATGAGGGGTAAGTCAAAGGTTATGTAAATATTTCAAAAAAAAGAATTTTTTAAAAAGGAATCATTAAGGCCAATAAGAAGAAACAGAATGTCTGATTGTACAGACAGGAGGCAATAAAAAGATGATATAATGTCAGGAATAAAGAATATATTTTTTTCACAAAAGTAATTACTGCCTGCCTTTGGAAAAAGTATTCCACTCATAAGTTTCACTTTATCACAGAGCAATTTCAAAATTTTAAAGATAATAGATTGATTTTTAGGAATTTTTTTAGATATGTTTAGGAAAATTTCCTTGGAAGAAGAAGGGACTTGTTAGTGTCCCAAAGTTTAGCCCTTCTGCAGGGTTCTTTATGCATCGCTCCAGTAGGCAGCTCACACGTCCTCCTGTCACTGTGCTCCAGTCAAAATGCCTGCAGTCTCAAATATTTATCACCAGCCTGCATTTCGCTTTTGAATTTTGGACGTCCATCTCCAACCTCCCACTTCTCACACCTATAGGTATCTCAGACTTATTACATAGAAACCTAGCACTTCTTGCTCAGATTTAGAACTTGCTCAAATTTAGAACTTCTTGCTCAGATCTGTTTCTTCATCGGTCTTTGCCATCTCAACACGCGTCATCTATCTTTCCCTTTGATCAAGCGAGCAATATCGAATGTTAACTCCGTTTTCTAACATGCCATCCAAATTATGTTACTAGCTTCCGTACTCTGTTTCTCTCCGTGGCCCCACTCAAAACAGTAATCAACAAAAGCTCTTTAATTCAGAGCATACCATCCCTCTGCTAAAATCTTTTTACCATCTTCCTAATGCACTCAGTATGTATGTCAAACGCCTTTAATCTATTCTCCTGTATCCCCTCTGCCCCCATCTCCTACTTCTTGGCCTTAATCCTCTCTACTCCTTCTTCCTGTTTTTTGTATGTTCCAAACACACAAGCGCAACATAATAAATACAGTATTACACAGCTGCAGCTATTAAAATAATATAAGGAAAATTACACCGGAGAAAATGGATTAACAGATTATTGAAACAACTGCTTTCTCCCCTTGAAACCAAGTTAATTTCAATTATTTTAATTATACTTTGGACACAAAATAACCTTAATCTTGCCACAACTTTTGTTGTAGATTAATGAAGTTGTAACAAAATCTACTTAGCTACTGCAAGCTTGAGAGCAGTAGAGTTTTTGATACTAAAGATGATTAATTTAGCAACATTATGAATGTCATCCACAAATAATATATCACATTAGTTAAATTGGAAGTGACAGAAATAGGAGATACCAGATAAAGTGAGTCAGCATTAGAAAGCATTTTCTAACTACATATCCTTTTATTTAATACCTATTTATTTTCTTGTAAGGTTTTTTACCCCTTAAGGTTGCACCATAACATAATTCCAAAATTACACTTTGAAACTCCTCTTTTCATACCGCAGTGTTTATGAAAACTTAGACCAGGCAGCTTGCCATGTCTCTGACTTCAAAACTATCTGCCATAATTTTCTTTAGTAAATTTAGCAGTATTTAATACAAATATGCATTGTATTTTCAGATGTACATGGAATAGAAAATCTGCAGATGTTGTTTTAAAAACCAAAAGTATGTTTTTTATATAATAAAATGTTTTTCTACTTATGTTGATATGGCTGAAAAAGCAAAATTTATTACAAAAGGATGCAGAAATAAAATCTAGCATATTCTGTTATTTTCATATTATCTCTGAATTAATCTGTCAGGATGATTGGAAAAGATTAAGTAATTACACTCCAAAATTTTGTTCTTTGTAAAATAATATATGGAATATTTATGTCTATATCATTAAAATGCAACACAACTCAATCTCCCCTGAACCTAACCTACCATTTCTCCCACTGGTCTCAATAGATATTGTTGCAGCTTTCTTCCTTGAGAAAGAGAGTTTATGCATAGTAAAGCTCCCCAACTGCCTATTGTAAAATGTAGATCTTTGCATCTACATAAATCTTTTCTCTTAGTACAGAATTGAAGTGATTGTCCTAGAATCAAAGAATAATCATTCCACTTGTACTTAACATTGATATCTTTGGAATCCTTTCCATTCTAAGTTTTCCTTTCCTGTGTACAAATTCTCTTGATCTCGTCTGATTAAAATTTACTGCTCAATATTTACCATTTAAACTGAGTTCAAGGAAATGTGGGAGGTCAAGATTAGAAAACCTTCCCCTATTCCAGTAGGAGCTCCACCTCCATCTCTGTGCTTCCTCTGAATATCAATACCTTGAAAGGTTTGCAGCATTCACCTTTGTTACATGCCCTTTCTCACTCAGGACTACAGTGCAGCCTCACGTACTAGACTTCCCAGTACAAAATATTCAGTTCTCTTTACTCAAATGTTTGGAAATATTGGATATGGTTTTAACAATGCCCCTGTTTAAAATCTATCTTGGCCTTATGTACAAAAGGATTTTCCTGCTAATTCCCTTGTCAGATTTCTGTGTAATTTTTCCTTTTTTGTTTGTCCTGCCTGTTGCCAATACTCCAAATTCTCATTTTTCACTGGATATTCCACCTAGGGTATCCTGTCTACTTCTATAACATCAGCTCATTGTTCTAATTTCTCTTCAGTACTCATAAATCCAAAATCTTACTGTGAGGGTTCATTCAGGAGGTTACCTTCACTGGAATGAGAGCTGCCTAGTTTAATAAGACACACATATGGAGTGTGTGATTATCTAGCATATGTTCCCAGAGTTATTGGAATGTGGACCAGTGAACTACTGGAGGGGAAAATCCACACTGGCTGTGGGTAGTTCTACCCAATAAGCTTGCAGCCTGGATAGAACAAGAATGAAAGGGTGAGGAACCTTGTTAGTGCCTGAAAACTTGATTCTGCTTGAGGAGGTGCATTTATGCTGCTATCATCACAGTTTCTTGAGGCTTTCAATGCAAATTCACATCAGTGACTCTTCAGGGAACTTCTAGGCCTTCAGCCCTGGATCTGGGCTGCATCCTTGGTTCTTCTTGCTGTTCAGGCTCCAGCTCTTTGAACTGAGCAACTACTGGATTCTCTGCTCTTCATCCTTCAACCTGCCACTGTGGAAGTACCTAGCCTCTGATCCTGCAAGTTAATCTAATAAATCCCTTTCAGCATTATAT